TTAATAACATATTCATGCAATTGCCTTGAAACCTTAGAATTTTTATCTGAACCATTTTTTTTTATCAATTACTCTATTTTTAAAATATTCCATTGTTTCCCATTAAAATGGGACACCTTGTGTGTGTGTGTGTGTGTGTGTGTGTGTGTGTGTGTGTGTGTGTGTGTGTGTGTGTGTGTGTGTGTGTGTGTGTGTGTGTGTGTGTGTGTGTGTGTGTGTGTGTGTGTGTGTGTGTGTGTGTGTGTATACATATATAGATTTATATATTTATTGCAGGTACGCTCCGCTAATAGAAGACATTTACAATGAGAGATAAAATTATCACCTTGCACGGTTAATATGCGATATGATCAAGAATAGGAAGGTGTTGCGAATGTGGTCTGCATAAAGCTCGGCGTTACAAAAGAGAATACATAATGATGCACTTAAAAGGGTGTAGAGGGTCAAAGGGAGGTTAAATATATCAAGCTGCGACTACGTGCGAGAAATACGTACAGGGAATTACCAAGTACTTCGAAATCTGACTTTAATCTCCGCACTCCCGAGCGCGCGATACTAATTCGATACCGCGTAGTAAATGTTCGAATAGTTAGCGTCTAAGGAATATACTACGTTTTTTATCTCTTTTTCTCTCTTTCTTTCTCCTTTTTTTTTTATACTTTGAAATTGTTCAGTCGGTGGCAGAGGACGTTATAATTGAATAATTTATCAGCGTCCGCGATGAGAAACGATTAGCTAAACTTCGGCGATACTTCCACAGGCTACCGAGGTGCCGCTTTTAAAGTGGAAGCTTAATACGAAGCTTCGCGGGGCGAAGTTGCGAGCTATACTTTTAAATTGCGCCGCGCAAAAAGAGTTTATAATAAGGTACGCTAGAGATTTACCGAGGGAAGAAGCGCGGACTGCTATCGATGGCGAGAAGGTGCGGAGTTGCGTTCATTAAATCATAAGCGCGAAAATGGTGTATCGGGATATACGTCTAGAGTTGAAGTTTGACCTGTGTTGAAGAAAAATGAGGAGGGAATAAGGTAAAGAGGAACAATAGGGTGTGAAGAGAGAAAGAGAGAGGTAAAGAGACGTGGAACGAAAATGAGAAAGGTGAATGATGTAAAGAGCGTGCGTGACTCTTTATTCCCGGAATATTTGCATTCATGAATCTCATGACGTGGAAAAGCCGCAGACACGTGCAGCATTCATTGTAATGCAGCGCGGATTACTAGCGCATAATGTGATTTCGCCATATCAGTTTTTTTCTTATTGTGTCATCATGATACTATACATTGAACATCAGATGCGAACATCAGAACTCGGCGACAGATATAGATCAGACAGGAGAATACACGTCATTTGCATAAAAATAAATGCAAATGATATTTTGCGAATATTTATATTAATAAAAATAATTATTTCTTACATTTTTAAATTAATATCACCATTCTTTTCCTATTAATCCTATCACAATCCTTAATCACAATTCTTTTTCCTAAATTATCTTTTTTTAAATTTATTTTTGTAAAAGTATGTGTATATGTATAATAATATAAATTAATCGGTGTGATGTAATGTGCATGTTCAAGGAAACTCATAAAAACGTCCGCTACATCTCCGGCTTCCGTACAACGTACAACAACGTACAACACGACAGTGATCGATCAAACTGAAAAATGTCAGGAACCACAGAAAACATATTTCGCCGAGACCGCACTAGAATTTCGTGAAATTTTACTACCGGAAGTTAAGCTGATCCGACGAAGACAAAGTTCGAGGCTATTACCCTTGTCGTCGGAACGTGACTTGAATAAGAACACGTGTAACTAAAAAAAAAAAAAACAGTATATGATTTTCCGGATCGTGTATGCTGGCTTACATCTCTGAAAAAGGATTATACCCCTATTACTTTTCGTCAAATGGACGCAAATTATATTATTATTTCGAAATAAATCATTTTATTTGATGATTATTAAAGAAAAAGAAATGTCACACGTACGAATATGAAATATTTGTCTGTATAATAATAATAAATCTCACTTCATTAAACTTTTTAGCATGTTATAAACATATTTAAATTCTTTTGCATAGTTTATTACATGTAATTATAAATAAATATATATGATATGTATAATAAAAGGATCTTCTTTTTATCTTTTAATTTTTTTAAATTTGTTAAATTAATCTTAATAATGAAGAAATTATTGTTTCATTAAATTAACAAAAACATTTAAATACATATAATGGACTAGATAAATACAAAAGTAATAAGCACTGAATTTAAATATATGTTGTATATAAATACTATTCTACAAAATAATTTATTCTACATTTATCAAATCGAAATTGTGCTATCTACGTGGTGCCATCTCACGATCAAAATGTTAAATATTTTATAAACTTAGATAAGATACTGTGTAATTTTTTTAAC